CTTCTTTAACACCCTCTGGCCGACAATGCCCAAAAGCAAGGCCTCTGGTTTCTTAGGGAAGGTATACTTAAATACCTTTTTCAACTCATTGTATATCATTTCCCAGAAAGCCTTGACCTTAGGGCAAGTCCACCAGAGGTGAAAGAACGTTCCTTCAGTTTCTTTACATTTCCAACATTTGTTATCAGGCAAGTGGTATATTTTTGCAAGCTTGACTGGGGTCATGTACCACCTGTATATCATTTTCATAATATTTTCTTTTAAGGCATTGCATGCCGTGAACTTCACACCGGTGGTCCATAACCTTTCCCAGTCAGCAAACATAATGTTATACCCAATGTCCTGTGCCCATTTTATCATAGCTGATTTGACCGTTTCATCTTGTGTATTCCATTTTAGCAGCAAGTTGTACATTTTTGAAAGAACCTTAGTTTTGGGTTCTAACAGTTCTGTTTCTAGCTTTGACTTTTCCACCTGGAATCCTATCTTTTTATCCAGATTAAAAACCTCTTTAATCTGAGCGTAATGCAGCCAATCTCTCACTTGATCTTTTAATTTTTCCAAACTCTGCAGCTTCCAACGATCTCCATCTTTTTCTAGTATTTCCCAATATTTCGGCCACTTGGCCTCCATATTGAGTCTTTTCTGGGCCTTGGCTTCCATTGGTGACAGCCACCTTGGGGTCTTATTCTCTAGTAGGTCTTTATATTTTATCCAAACATTAAACAGTGCTTTCCTAACAATATGGTTCTTAAACGCCTTGTGGCTTTTAACCTTGTCACACCACAAATATGCATGTCATCCAAAAGCATTGTTAAAGCCTTCCAAATCTAGGACATCAGTGTTTTCAAGAAGTAGCCAGTCTTTCAGCCAGCAAAACGCTGCTGCTTCATAATACAACCTTAAGTCTGGCAGGGCAAACCCCCCTCTTTCTTTAGCATAAAAGTTATGTTGCAATTTTGGTGGGAGGGGTAAAATGTTTAAATACTCTGCACGCAGCCTGGAGCTTTCTCTTTGCTGCGTGCAACGGATCACCCGCCCACCCGCACTTGAGTAAGGGGTTGTTGCATTGAGCTTGCTATGCCTGTCATGGGGTCGTCTGCTTTGGGGCAGGGGCCTGGTAGGAATTTTGTCCATCTGGCTGATTGGCTGGGCCACTTGGTTTTTGCCTACTGCGTAGCAAATCGTCACAACTTGTAAGGTTGCGGTTAGGCATTGGTTATAAATTGGTGGAGGAGGGGTTAGGATAGGCTGGGCCCGCCCCTCCATGGTTGCTGCGGAAAGGGAATTCCGTTAAAGGAATCCTGGGGCTTGCCATCTTTTCGTCCAATCCCTGGAATGGGACTAGGGCCGGCAAGCCTTCGGGGAGCATGCGGATGAGAATTGAGGGTCTGTGACTCAGCTCCATTTCTCCCCGACTTGCTTTCCCCCGCACTGTCTTTCGGTGGTGCCCGGAAGTCAGTTCTGTCCCCAGGCGGGGGGACAGATAGTCTTAACCAATGCCTAAACAACCACTCACAGTTTTGTATTTAAATAAAGTTGTGGCCAAAATTATGCCAAAAACCTTAAAAAAAAATAAGTGTGCGTTGTGAGTTATTTGGGGGGTGGCTTGGGGACCTCGACACACAAAGCTTGGTGAATCCCCAGCAGGGCCTTAAACGAGCTCCCCGTCAGGGCAGCGCAGTGAAATTTTAGATCTTACAGTACAGGAACCAAGACTCAGAAATCTCGATGAATTAAGAAATCTGGTTACAAATTGGCTACAGGCCACAGGTACATCAGATTAATGAACTGTTTAAGATAGATAGGAAAAATGGCTTTGCAGAACAAAAGTCTCAGTTTACCAAAGACTTATTAGATACAAATATAAAAGTATAATAAAAAATGTACAAACTGCTGTTGGAGTGGCAAACTAAAGGGGAATTTGTGAAACTGAGCATGACTTAGCGGGCAAAAGATGTGGGTCACTGTATTGATTATGAAATATGAATTTTACAGCATGTTATGCGACAAAAGAAAATATGATGAAAATGGCCCACAAATGGTATTTAACACCCATCAGATTGGCAAAAATGTCTAAAAAAGAAAAAGGTATATATGGGGAGTGTAATTAAATTGTGGGATCTTTTATTAATATGTGGTGGTCCTGTAAAATAATTAAGGAATATTGGGAAACTATATATAATGAATTTGAAAAGATACTTTAAAAACTTTCCCCAAAACACCTGAGATTTTCCTCTTGGGGGTGGTAACAATGGACGTCCCCCCCCTCCAAAAAAAGAGTTTATTACTATACGCCACCGCTACATTAGGACCTTATTGGCACAAAGGTGGAGAACAAGCATAGTCCCCAGTAAGGAAGAATGACAGTGTAAATGTTCGAATATGCTGAACTGGCTGGTCTGACGAACAGGATAAGAGAAAATGAAGATAAGGAATATAAAGAGGAATGTTTATTGACTATTTCAAGAACCAGTATAGACAGATACATAGCTTAGCAGGTCTCAAGTAAATCCAGCAGAGTTGAAATAGATGGATTATTTAATAGATAACAAATTGGATGATTTAAAATGCAGAGTAGTAAAAAAGCAAAGGAACCAGGAAAAGTGAGGAAGGGAAGTCATATGGTCTATTTATATGCTGTATTTGGTACGAAGTTGTAAGTGGGACGAGGAAGGGGAAGGGGGTTAAATATGCTCTCTGTTCCTGTTTTTGAAAATGCAAAAAAGTAATAAACAAGTAATGTAAGGGTTCAGAATCAGGGCGACACCGCCCTTTGTCTCTCCTGCTAGCTCCACACACCTACGGATTGTGTCTCTCACTTTCCTCTCCCAGCTCTGTTGATGGGTATTTTTGGATTCATCTATTTGCAGTATTATTATACTGCAAAATGTACTTAACCAGGTGCTGTGTATGGTCTTCTGATATTAGTTCTTTGAACTGTTCTCTGTCTGAGAGGGTCAGATTTATTTAATACTAGACAGTTAATAATATGTTGTTTGCAAATACTGAAAGAAATGAGGGAGTTGTGTCAGTTCAGTAATCATAAGACTTCAAAATTCTATCTTTAAATAACTTTATCCACTAAATCAATTCACTTTCTCTCCGTAACTGCACATCACTTAGCATACATTTGTCTTTTGACTTCTCATTATAACATATAGCTGGCAGTGTTGAGAATTCTGAGCTCAATATTCTTCTGTATCTATGCCAAATATTAAAATAGCTTTGGCACAATTGTTTGTTTTAATCATGTCTCTTATTAGATGTGCTACTATGCCTACTGATATATTTAAGATCTATTAATCTATTGTGCTCTAGTATCAGAGCACAGTATCTATTGGAAAAATCCCAAGAATGTTGAGGGGGAGAACATCAAGGTAAAGGTAAAGGGACCCCTGACAGTTAAGTCCAGTCGCAGATGACTCTGGGGTTGCGGTGCTCATCTCGCTTTACAGGCTGGGGGAGCTGGCGATAGTCCGCAAACATTACTACATTTTTATTCTGCCATTCCACCGAGAAGCTTGGGGAACCGTACCTAGTTCCCATTTTATCCCAGCAACAAGCCCTGTGAGCTAGGTTACGCTAAGTGTAACAGGCCAACTTCACCTAATGAGCTTCAGAGCTGAATGAGGATTTGAACCCAAGCAGTGACATTTGCTTCTTGTGTTTCTATTCTACCTGTGGATATAGCTGGTAGCCAGTGGAAAATTTGCTAAGCTGCTAGGTTTGCCTGTGCTAACAAAGTACACGAAAAGTTTTTTTAAGCTGCGATGTATTCAATGGCACACTAGAAATATTTGACTGAAGCCTCATAGGCAGTCAATTTAAAATTTACAAGTGCAGAATGTGGTGCTGACTGCAGAATTCAGCTTTGGAGCATGTTCTCTTTCATTTGCTTTTAAAAAAAGACGTTCCTGTTCTGAGTGGCAGTTGGCATTTTCCATAGTATAGTTTGTGCCCACAAATTAACAATGTTTTCCTAGTCTGGACAGCAAGGCAAAGGTAGGTTTTACTAGCACGGTATGTGCATATTACATGATCTAGTCATATCTTGGCAGTGATCCCCACGTTTGTTTTAATGTTTGGGTATTATTATTTTTTAAAGGCAGCCTTACAACAGGATCTGAAACCAAGTCTGGGTGAAGAAAGAGAAATCAGTATGTCCAGAAATATTTTACAGCAGCTTTTGACAAAGTTTTTCAGCAACAGCATCTTTGCACGACCTTTTAATGATAATGGTTCTTAATGTTGAGAGTTGGCAGGAGTCTGACAGCATAAGAAGAATGCAGGTCATCTAAGATAGACAGGTGATGAAGGCAAACGCTGAGACAATTTGAAATCCATTAAACACCACAGTGCGGATGATGACTGGAGGCACGAATGTAAGCAGGGCTTGCTGGATCAGGCCAGTGACCCAACTAGTCCAGAATCCTGTTCTCACAGTGAGGACAAGAACACTTCCCTGCCAGCCCATGGCATTCTGAAGCATGAATTTATTCCATCTCCAGCAACCAGGCAGCAGAAGCTCTCACTGACAGTGGTGGCACAGATTAATGAGGTTGCAAGAAAGTCCCATTGCATCAGCACTTTTCTTCCATGGACATGATCCAGATGAGTTCTGTGTGGATACAAATGAAATGTAGGAATACATCTTACAATCACAGAAATAAGGTAGGTTCTAAAAATGTACATCTCAAGTGTCAAAAGCCACTGTAAAGTTGTGTCTGAGACAGTCTGTAAGGAAAGAGGTGGTGTTTCAGGTATTTGGGGCCTGAGCCATTTAGGGCTTTAAACATTAACACGAGCACCTTGAACTGGGCCATAAAACAAACCAGCAACCAATGCAGCTATCTGAAAGCAGAAGTTATATGAGAACTAAGTGGAACCCCAGTCAGCAATCTAGCTGCTGCATTTTGGCCCAGTTGAAGTTTCTGAGTAATTTTTGAGCACAACACCACGTAGAGGATTAAGCATGCAATGTGGAACCACAGTAATAATCGCACTTCCACCTAACAGTGTAAGAAGAGCAATGCTTTAGCAGCATGAAAGAGCCCCGGGACAGAAGCAACCCAGTTCAGTTAGTTGACACACATAAACCAGCCACAAGAGGGCATAAAAGTACTGGCATCCTAAGCATCACATTAATGCAATACAGTGAATTAAAAGGTGTTCTGTAAGGAGTGTAGCACAAGATGCTCAGTTTCAGAAAGGAGAACTGGGCTAGTGGGTCTGAAACATATCAAAGCAACACAATGGCAGGCTTACCTTAAAAAGCAGAGCTGAAGCCTGCGTTGGAGAATACACCAGGTGCTCCCAAATCACTGTAAAGGCAATACAAACAGAGGGTTGTTTTTCTAGAGCTGGTGTAGCCTGGAGAACAAAGGGCCCAATGCTCGGAAGGCACTTTTGCTCCATTTCTGTTCCCGCAGGAAGTAATTTTAACTCAGCAAATTACCAGGATGCCCTAGCTCAAGTTTCTCTCTCCCCCACCCCATTTTTGTTTTCCAGAAGAAGAAGAAAGCCAGTATCCAATATCAACAAGAAGTATACCTAAGCAAATTCTATTTGGCATAGTGCCAGGCCTAGCAAAATAGCACAAGAAGTAGGACCAAAATTTATAAAAATATGAAAACAAAAGTCAGCAAGAAGCTATAGACCATACACTGATTGCTGCTGCTGACATGTGACTGTCTGCAAATAATAATCATGAAAACACATTAAAAAGACCATCTGGATCAGCCCAGCCTGTAATTTGCCTGCCCTTGCAGCAATGTGGCCCTCATGGTACTGACTTTCAGAAGTGTTCATTTTTTCAAATGCTGTTGCCTAAAGTTATGTTTCTGAGTAACAAGAGTTGGTGAGAAAAGCCCCAGAAGTTCAGCCTTTCCTAACTGTAATTTCAGCTATGAAGAAAGGTCATTGTACTGAAACAAAAGAAGCCTTGGGGTTGGATAGAGGAACAAGACTGATGACAGAGGTCATTTGGACAACTGTTCACTTTGGCTTGAATCAGAATCTTGGTTGGCCATATCATGGGAAGTAGAGTACAGTATTTTTCTTCCAGCAAGGCTTGAGGGTGCCAGGACACAGCTGTACCTGAGCATTCAGATGCTGAATGACTGAGGATGCAATCCATGCACATACAAGGAAGGAAGCCCCATTTGTCTCAATGGGACTTACTCCCAAGTAAATATGCTTAGGATCATGCTACACATCTTGTTAATTAAAATTGTTTGACCAGATCTGAATGACAGATCTACTCTCTCTGTGTTAATCTTTACCTCTCTTTTCAAAACAGCTTGCGAATCTGTCAGAATGGACTCTGGTACATTAAATCTTATGCCTCATTAAATTATTAGCCATTCTTTTAGAATACTAGAAAAAAGAGGTTGGTCTAATTTCATGTAGTAATTCATAGTACCTGGTATGGTCAAGGAGCCTTTTCTTTTCCCCTGACAGAGTCAAAGTTGCCATTGGATGGTGCAGAGAATTTGAGAAAAAGAGAGAGAGAAATTCAGTTACTGTCATTTATTTATGTAAGCAGCAGATAATATAGAAGTGATTTGTTCTCAAATACAAAGTAGTGATAGATGAAATAATTCCATTTGCATTCCGACACTCCACCCAAAAGCAGAGGGAGTCAGATGGGTTTTTCTTCATACAACAATCCTGAGAGACTGGTTAGACAGAAAATTCCTGGCACAAAATTCCCCATTGAGTTTCGCCCTAGTTCCAGACACAGAAATATGTACAGCAAATGTAATGGTTCTAGAGGTTGCTCGTGCGTAAGCCGGTGGCAACACCTGGCTGGGTTTCCTGAGTGAACCTTTCCTGTCCAGACAGCCACTCACCCGTGGCTGTCTCAGTCGCTGGCAGAATCCGTCAGTGGGTGTCTCTTGAACCTTTTCCAGCATAAAAGCTGTTTGACGCCAAGTCTCCTCCTACTTTCCCTGCGCGGAAGCCTTCTGCGCAAGGAGGGCGTAGGCAGCGGAGGACCCTTCCTTTCCCCGCTGGTCCCCGGCAAGGAGTCATGGGACTGCCTCGCCACATCCCCCATCTGCCCCCCTTCTCCACTGGTGCTACGCTGATTCTCTTCCCCAGAAGATGGGCTGCTTCTCCCGATCCCTGGACGCTCTCTGGGATCCCTCTGGATTTTGCTCTCTCTCTCCCTCCGGCACTGATGGCAGTTCCCTGACAGCAAACAATGCTCTGGCCATCCTGACTATAAAAGATCCTTGGCTAACAAACTTGCAACAAGTCAACTGGTTATATGATTCCCAGACCTCAGTATTAAAACATTTCTTAAATGGAAATGGATACTGCAGCCTCACCCCAAAAAACTCCCCACAATACTATATTTTTCCCCATTGTGAAACATGATAACTAAGGCAGGTGACATTTGGCCTTGCACTCTTGCGTGCAGATGCATCAGTATAGAAATACCTGCATGCATGTCCAGAACAACAACAAAAATAGAGGTAGTGGAGGAGGAGGGGATGGGAGGGGGGGACAGGAGGGGGGACAGGAGGGGGGGACAGGAGACAACCAACAACAACCCAGAGACATTTTGCTAAGCTCTGTTCACACAGTGAAATAGCAATGAATATCCATGACTGAAAAAAGGGTACGTGTGGAAACTAATGCAGACACAGAGAAAAATCTAATTTCCATGGTAGGGAAACTAAATGACTTATTTGATATTAGGCCCCATTTGAAAGCACCCATATATCACAAGGTGCATAAGCTGCAGATGTTGCTTGTGGCACAGAATGAACTGTGGTAGCAGAATGCCACTGCACCACTGTGCCACTTCCCAATGTAAGTGGGGAGACATTTTTAAATCCCCAGCCCCGCCATGTAAAAAGCTGCCTGCATGTCAAACATAGAAATAAGCCAACCACAAAACATCTCTCAAATTTACAACACGAGAGAAGGATTGTTTTTACATAAGAGAGTCACCCTGGGACAACACACACACACACAGCCTGAAGTGCTATGGAACATAACTTTATCAGCACTTTCTGCATTTCTAGCTCCTCAAGAAGATGTTAATCAAAATAAAAAGTTGAAGACATGACCTGGTTGGGGGAAGTAAATAAGTTGGGGCACCTGGGTTTTCTTACCTTTTTTCCTGAAGCGTCTGATAGCCAGAGCGATCAGACTCCCAGAAAGCACGAGGGCAACAGCCGACACTGTGGCTCCACCAGTATAAAGCAGAGCTTTTGTGTAGTAAGGGGCAACATTTTCTGGAATGAATAACAAACCTAATAGTTAGAGACTGAGTCCCCTAAGCTCTTCTTAGGTTCTTCATTTCCAGTTCTATGGTCTGCTGCCTAGTGGCACCTTCAGCATGACAAATCCAAGTGCTGCAGACTGTGATCAAGACAGAGAGACTTCATGACAATATAGTCAGCTGTATGATGTTCTGTCTTCTCAGAGTCCCTTCCTTCCTGTACAATGTGGGCATTGGCTCCAAGGGGGCCGAGGTTCTGTGGGCCCCCTCAATCTTTTTTTATAAAGGGGGCGGCTGCCTCCATTGCTGAGGCCAAACACAGAACCCCCCTCAATGTTCCTCAGAAGATGGTACCTCTGCTGTGCCAGCAGCACTTTGCTCCCCCAGCTATCCAGGTGGATTTAGCTTTACCAGCCTGGACACCATCAGTTGACCCCACAAGCCACCTGCCCCAGACTTTATAAAACCCTTCCATCCAAGAACGCTCCTCAACCATCAGTGCAGGTCTTACTTCTAACAAGAATGTTTCACATGTCTGCAGTGCCACCAACTGCAATAGTTCTGCAAATGTACAGCAAACCAACTGGCTACCATCCATGGTGCCAGCAGAATATTTCCTTCCTCCTGAGCCCCAGGACAGTTCCGCAACTTTTGGGGGAATTATTTTCTTTTTTAAAAATAAGGGTGCTTCTATGCTAAGCATTTTAGCAGAAACTATTCACAGGAAAGGGACGCGGGTGGCGCTGTGGGTAAAAGCCTCAGTGCCTAGGGCTTCCCGATCGAAAGGTCGGCGGTTCGAATCCCCGCGGCGGGGTGCGCTCCCGTTGTTCGGTCCCAGCGCCTGCCAACCTAGCAGTTCGAAAGCACCCCCGGGTGCAAGTAGATAAATAGGGACCACTAACTAGCGGGAAGGTAAACGGCGTTTCCGTGTGCGGCTCTGGCTCGCCAGAGCAGCGATGTCACGCTGGCCACGTGACCCGGAAGTGTCTCCGGACAGCGCTGGCTCCCGGCCTCTTGAGTGAGATGGGCGCACAACCCTAGAGTCTGTCAAGACTGGCCCGTACGGGCAGGGGTACCTTTACCTTTATTCACAGGAAAATCAGAGTCTTTCCAGTTGTGTGGAAAGCCAATCGGTAATTATAGCTTACAGTGGAAGAAGAAGAATTAGATAGGGCTAGAAGCCACCCATCTGGAAGCCCCCTTGAAAAGGGGCTACAGGTGGGGGGCCACTAGGGGCGCATTGGAAGATGGCCGACAATACCATCTCTCCGACCCACAAGGGGTAATTAAGAGGCTGTTATGGGAGTAAGCAGCCTCCCTTGTTGTCCCAAGGGAATGGGGAACACTGCCCTTGCCTGCTGTGTCCATAAATCACCCCCAAATTCGAAAGAAGGGGGTGTGGGCCCTAGGCAGAATGCCCCCTTGTGGACCTTTGCTCTCCTGGACGCTGTCTCTGATAGCGCACTAGCTGCAGCAATTTGGAATAAGTAATTACAAAAGAAGCAAATGCACGTATTTCAAGTGAAGAAGGGGAGTGAAGTCTGCTAATTTAAGGGACCTCTGCGAAAGAAGACGACGGGTTGGAGCAACAGGAATATTTTACAATGAAGATACACCAAAGGCTGGGTATGTCGGCAACGGGACTGAATGGGGGGGGACCTTTTTTACTTTTCTTCTATGTGATTTACCAAGAACCCCTCCTCATTAGAACCGTCGGTTGAACTGACCCAAGCAGGATGATTAAGGTCTGTGCGGAGATAAACTTTAACCAAAAGTATGCTTTATGGAGATCGAGAAGCAATAAGAGCTTTTGGAATGGCGCAGCAATTAATTCAGAGTCGCCATCTTGCCAAAGGATTTATAGCCGGGAGGAGGAACGGACTTGTTTTCAGACTGCATTCCTGGTGAATCTCCTCAGAGGTTTGAGAAAGGAGGCAGATTGGTGAAGATTAATGACGCTAAGACTGTTTTGATGTATGGAAGTGATGTTATATGGAAAACGTCTGGATATGGCTACTGGATAAAAAATAATAATATCCACGCAGGATTACAAACTGTTTTAACCAGCTTGTGGAGACTATCAGAGGTCACAAAGAGAAAGGAAAAATATATGAAAATAACAACAAGAGATGTGGAAAAACAATAAGAAAGGACTGGATAGTACTGTGAACATCATAAGGTTAGATTTGTGGACATTAAAACAGCAGCAAGAAGCAAGAAGTTGATTGGATCCCCTTCGGAACTTGAAATATGGGTACCCCCAACAAAAATTAAAATTCGGCTGTGTAATTTGGAATTTATGTAATTTGGTTTGATTTGATGTGATTGGTCGGTTAATAAAAAATTATTCTTAAAAAAAAAAGAAAAGGGGCTACAGGTACCTTGACAAACAGGCATCTCGGAAGACCACTGGCCATTGGCCTGGCACTGGATGCTGCTTGTTCCATTGAGGTTGTAGCCCTCAGCACACTGGAAGAGACATGTCGACCCGTATCTGAAGGAGTCCCAGGGACCAGAGCAATTCATCTTCATCTTCCCCAGAGCATTCAGGTGGGGACACTTTATCGCTATTGGGGGGATGGGAAGAAAATATGAACTACAAACTTGCTTTACACATTGGATTAAAGGCATGTTATGCTATTTCTAAATATAGCATTGTAAGAATTAGACAAACGGCTTAATAAAAGCTGACAAATGACAGAGGCAGCTGTATTTATGTGATATGTCTTGGCTGTCTCTTAGTGCAGACCCAGATAACTGAGCCTGAGCTTCCACAGCTGCCACTCTCTAGGAACCACAATCGGCAGGATTGGCAGCAACAGCGGCAGATATGTTCTGTGCTTGAAATAATACTTTATTCTCTTGCTAATTATGCTGTGTTAAATGTGTATTCTGTTGTTGACCTCCTTTGTAATGTAATATTTCAGTTTACTGTTAAATATGTTGCTTTGAATACAGTATATGCTTTATATTTTATATACTTTCTTCAGCAATGTTTTATTCTGGATTGTTTAATTTGATGTTTTAATGTAGCTTGTGAGCCACTTTGAGAATTTTTTCTTAAAAATATAAAGTGGTATAGAAATAATAATAATAATAATAATAATAATAATAATAATAATATAAAACAATCAGAAAAATAACCCAAAACCAAGGATGTTACTGTCAAACACTAGGCTGGACATAATATTTGGCTGCTAAGTGGGGAGACCAAATGGAATACCCTGATGTTGTGCAGTGAAATAAGAAGTGAAACTGGGGGGTAGCAAAAATCTAGTTCACCCATGTGGGGTAATAATTAAAGACTTGGCTAGAAGTCTTTAGCCCCCAAAGTTTGGGGCTAAACACACTCTCCAGCAAGAGTGAGCCCCCAGGAGAGTAGTGAAATAACAGAATCATGCTGCACAGTAAAGCATGGAAATAATAGGCTGTTAGACCTTTTAAACATTACATTCTAGTCCGCTTTCAGTGCTTCCTCCTCTACCCCTCTTGCAATGAACAGACCACACTATTAGTAAGTTTAAATGCTTTACTTACAAACGCCAAATGTCAGATTCATGCATTATTCCATGCAGCAGCAAGAAGAACACAGGTAGAAATACTGGGTTTACAAAACACAGAAAAATATTTCTGAGCATGCACTCTGGGCTTAAAGCTTCACATGGTGGAAAAGAATGAAGAAAGAAGCTTCACTTCCTCCTTCACAGGAGATGAGAGAGCATGACCTGAGTCCAGCAATACCCCAGCTGGATGGGCGGGGTATAAAAAATAAATTATTATTATTATTATTATTATTATTATTATTATTATTATTATTATTCTGTGGTCTTAATCCCTTAATGCATTAACTAGCCCTATACTTGCTAACTAGCCCTAAATTTGACTGCAATTTCCCATACAAACTCCAAGACACAAACTGAAAGCGTGGTAAGACTTGCAAGGAGCTCGTCAGTGGGGTAGGCCTACAGAAGTGATGGCCAAACTTGGCCCTTCCCATCATCCCTGACAACTGGTCCTGTTAGCTAGGGATGATGGGAGTTGTAGTCCAAAAACAGCTGGAGGGCCAAGTTTGGCCATCACTGGCCTACAGCGTTTTGTATCACTCTTCCAGTGTTGAATAAGATACAGATTTTGGCCTCTGAAGCCACTGTGATACACAACACACAACACACCCTTGGAAAGAAGCCCTAATCCAATTCTGGGGAACAAATTACAACAAGCAGCACCCACTGTTTGCCCAAGCCTGTCCCAGAAGGAACCAAGGTTATCTGGAAGCCCTACCTTCACAAATGGGCCCATCTCTGCTCCAGTTTCCCTGATCCGTGCACTCGAGCTCCTCTGACCCAACCAGCTCAAAGCCAGAGTTGCAGGAGAAGATGCAGCTGGAGTGATAGGCAAAGCGGCCGTATGGATGAGAGCAGTTTCCCTTGCCATTGTCTGGAGTTTGCAGGGATGGGCACTGGACAGCTGGAATAGGAATGGGCAGATTATTTAATGTACAGGAACATTGGATGAGTCACAATACACTGCAGCAGATGCATATTCAAATTATTAAGTGTTTCTTTCCCCTGGCTGGTGACCATATTGCAAGTATCCAAGATATCAAAATGCAACTATATGATTTTATGTTCTGGTCTTCCTTCAATGCAGAAAGCTTCTGAAAGAGCATTTTATGGGGTCAGTTTCCTTACAAGGAATAGGAGACCTGTGGCATTTTTGTCGTATACTTTAATTTCCAGTCATACGCATTGAACTCTGAGGAGTTATGGGAAATGCAGTTACTGCAGGTGTCAGTCAACATGGCACTCTCCAGATGTTGGCTGGGGGATGGGAGTTGGAGTTCAGTCACCTCTGGAGGGCACCATAATAGTAGTAGTAGTAGTAATAATAATAATAATAATAATAATAATAATAATAATATATTATTTGTACCCTGCTCATCTGGCTGGGTTTCCCCAACCACTCTGGGCGGCTTCCAACAAAGATTAAAAACACATTAAAATGTCACACATTAAAAACTTCCCTGAACAGGGCTGTCCCTGTTTTGCTGGCACTGACCTTGGCACTGCGGCAGTTGTTCAGTCCAGCGGCCTTGAGCTGTGCAGTCGAGCATCTCTTGTCCAAGCAGCTGAAACCCAGCACTGCAGGAAACGTTGCAGCTGGAGCCATATGCAAAGTGCCCAAGAGGGTGGGTGCAATTTAAATGGCCATTGTCGGGCTTAGGTAGACCTGGGCACTTAACAGCTGAAGCAGAAAGGACAAGTAAGCAACAAAGCCAAAGTTATAAATATGGTAAACTGAAGGAAATCCATTGATGAGCATATTATTATTACTAATAAAGCATTTATTATTTATATAGCAAAATGTGTTGCAAAGGCATTGCCTCCATGAAGGGAATATTTATGCCACAGGAGAGCTTAATGCAGATGAAATATCTATTACTATTTGTTGCTTTTGTTTTATTAATCTATGTCTTGCCTTTCACATTTTTGTCAAGGCAATTTACAAATGTTTCATAAAAACAACTAAAATAGTTTTTAAAAGGGTACAAGGAACAGTTGACGAGGGTCCAGGGCTACCTTCACAAATGGGCACATCTCTGCTCCAGTTTCCCTGATCCGTGCACTCGAGCTCCTCTGACCCAACCAGCTCAAAGCCAGAGTTGCAGGAGAAGATGCAGCTGGAGTGATAGGCAAACCGGTCGTATGGATGAGAGCAGTTTCCCTTGCCATTGTCTGGAGTTTGCAGGGATGGGCACTGGACAGCTGGAATTGGAAATACAGATTTATCAATATACACCCCAAATAAATATGTTACCTCAAATTCAGCTTGTGTTGTATGATATCAAATGAAACTTTGGGATTGGAGCCAGTCTGCAGATAGATGGCGGTTAATTCCACCTCCCCACCCCACCCCGATGAACCACATGCTCGTGTGGTGAGGTGGCACCTCCTGAAATGCTGCTATAGCAACTGAGCACATTTTGAAGCTTTGACACCCAGGACATCAGTGCTAAAGAAATCTGGAAATTAACAAGGAAATAAACAACTATCTGACTTTTAGAAGACGTCTGAAGGCAGCCCTGTATAGGGAAGTTTCTAGTGTTTGATATCCCACTGTGTTTTAATTTGTTGGAAGCTGCCCAGAGTGGCAGGGGAAACCTAGTCAGGAGGCATAGAAATAATAAACTATTATTACTATTATTATCTATGAGATCCAGTTTTCCCGTATGAGCCTGCCTTGCAGCATGTCCATTGACTGAGCTCTCTAATGCTGTACTCCAACTGGCAGCCGTCCAAAGTTAATTTCAAGCAAAGGTCCTATTCTCTGCAGCTGCTGCTTGAGATCCTTTTAATCGGGAGATGCCAGAAATGGAAAAATGCAAAGCATGTGATCTTAACCGCTGAGCTATGGACTCTCCTACTCACATCAAGAGTCTGCCCTCGTGATGTACACACAATGGCAAGTAAATTGCCAACCAGCTCTACATCTTACTCTAAGCATAAAAAAGCACCAGAGAAACACAGATCCATACAGAGATGTGTCTTAAATGGCCAATAAAATTATGTCAATTTAATTTACTTATATCCTAAATTGTATTTAGTCAAAGGCAATTATATCTCCATTGGGTGAGCTAAAAATAAATGGATTGTGCATCTGGGGCTGTGCTGTCTGCATGTCTGGAGTGAATGTGTTCTGCACTTCTTCTCAGCATTTTGGAGAGTGATACAGATGATATAGCTCTGCTGGATCAAGCTAAAGGCCAATCTAGTCCTACATCTTGCTCTCACGGTGACTAACATGATGACTATGGGGCCCAAGCTCTCCCCACTTGTGATTCCCAGCATACTGCTTCTGACAGGGAAGGTAGAACATAGGACGTACTGTATGTAGAACCCATATGGAGGAACTGCCAAGCAGATGCCACTAAGAATGTTGCTACAGTGAATGGACCCCAGGGACAGGACAGTCACCATCACCCAAAGCCTGTGTTGCTGTTCTACACACCCAAAGTTCAGGTTTCATACTTTTCAGGAGGAGGGTGTGTTACAGTAATTCACCTTTAGACACTATGGATTAGTGCCCTTATTTCCACATCAGTCTGTGACCTCGTTAAGGAAGGTTGCCCCTGTGATCACTCCAGAATAAGTACCCAGTTCTTGGTATTCAGTCTGTGTCCTGTTCCTTTGCAAGTAGCAAAGGATAATCTTCCAGGGCACCCAGTCAGTTTTGTTTAGATTCCCAAGTTTCAGAGCAAGATCTTGCATGAAACTGAAGAAAAATCAAAAATTGCTGTTGCCACTGCTATCAGTGGAAGTATGACACCAGAAGATCCAGTTTGTTTTTCAATTTAGCAAATGCAACATCTCAATTTTATATACTCAGCTACCATCCATTTCCCAGCTGATTCCCAAGAGTATACTCAGCACTGACCTTCACATAAGGGTGGTTTCTCCGTCCACATTCCCAGAACTGTGCACTGAAGTTGCTCTGCTCCAACTTGCACAAACCCTGTATTGCAGGAGAAAGTGCAGCTGGAGCTGTATGCAAAGTCTCCATGTGGATGAGAGCAGTCAAATTCTCCATTCTTGGGGACATCCAGTTTGGGGCACTCAATAACTAGAATGAAAGAGAATGCTCAGTGTTGGTGAAAGGAGGAACTATTCAGCCCAGATTCTCCCAGCCACAGGAAGAGGCAAGTCCAGGCATGAAATGAGACCTATTCTTCGGGGGGGGGGATGAAGGCAGTTATTTCAGGGGTGCTTCCAGATATAAGTTCTCCCTTGCATATAAGGTAGGTGCTGCTCAACAAACCTCTACCCCACCATTCTTTTTACATTTAACTATTTGGCTTGACCCCACCATTTCTCATCTGCACCAGTGGATGGATCATGATAGGATGTGTCTGGAATGAGTATTTAACTCATTCCTCTCACAGAAACATGTGCATGCATGCAGGTGGTTCATATATCTGCATGGGTTCCTTATTTTGGTTTTTTTTTAAATAAACCAATCCCGACACAAGTGTGAAATTAAAAAAATGCAAAAGTCTCATTGACCAATGTAGAGATTGATCCATCAATCCCCCTTTTTGCTTACCACTGCAAGGTGGCAATTGAAAACCACAGGCACATTTAAAAAATATGTTTTCCATCAGAAGCCAAGAAACACCTTACTTTTGCCATTTTGAAAAACAGCCTTGTGTTTTGTCTCTTCTCATCAGGACTTCCTCAAATTCTGCTTTCTCATGCTCAAGAAAAAAGGCATCACATGCACTTAACATTATGTTTGGGCAATGTGATGCCTCCCCCCCCCCCTGCAAACATGAGAAAGCAGCATTTGAAGACGTGCCTGATTTTCCATGCTATAGGACCCACATTTTCTTCTCATGAAAACCTTCCCCAACCCATGAAAAACAGTATTACAATACAGGCAGCAAAAGCCAAATTTGTGGCACATGACACTTCCTGTGTCAAAAACCACAGTCCCCAAAGTCCCAGTAGTAAAAGTGCAAAGCAGCACAAACACACCCACACCGAAGACCTCTTTGGACTGCTGTTCTATATCTTTCCTATCATTAAGAAATTAGAAGGGGAGAAATTGATGAAAGGAAGATAATTTCAAAACAATGATGCTGTTGTGATATGCATGCTCCCATATGAAGTCTGAGGGAAATGCTATAAGAAAGGGCCACCTGGAAGCAGCCCAGGTCACTATAAGGTAGCCAGGCTGGAGGTGCTCAGCCTTGAAAGACCCTGACCAGACAGATCAGAGTTTCATCACAAAAACAGGCAGTGAAAAGACCTTAGTTACCCTGACATGTTGGCAACGGAGCAGTCCAGTTCCCAGTTGCTAAGCAGCGGGTTGAATTTCTTCCAGCCAAGGTAAATCCAGTCTCGCAGGCAAACTCACAGGTAGATTGGAATGCAAACTCTCCATTTGGATGGAAAGCAGGTCATCCTCCCTTGCTTGGGGGTCTCCAGACTGTGGCACTGCATGGCTGAAGATGACAATGGTGATGATGGTAATAATCATAATTTCTTATACCCTTCCCATTTGACTGGGTTGCCCCAGCCGGTCTGGGCAGCTTCCAACAAAAATACAGGGAACAACAACAACAATGGGATACAGAAGAAGAAGAGATACAGGTGGGCAAAGGGCGGGGGGAGCCAGGAGGGAGAAGGGGGGGGGGGAAGGCTGTTGCAGAGTATTATTCCTTTGACCCAACCTCTACCCCTTGCACATATTGGTGTTTATTCAGGTATGTGTAAATGTCTTGTATACTGCAAATGTGTTGGTGGCCAGGAGGCCAAGGTGTGGAACGCATCAATTGTTAAGAAAACTGCGAATTAAAAGTTAGTATATTCAGGTGATGCGTTTCTCTAGGAACTATGGCTTCTGGAGGAAGTCGGGAAAGATGTCATTTTATCCTTATTCCACCACCTCATACCCAAAGAAGAAGGGTGGTTCTTCCAGCAGCCTCACCTTGGCAAGCTGGGACTGCCGCTGTCCATTCTCCAGATGCTGTGCACTCCGTCACCTTTTCTCCAAGTAACTGGAACCCTTCAGCGCAGTGGAAGGTGCAGAGAGACTGGTACTGAAATTTCCCATGGAAATCGAAGCAGGTGCTGTTACCATAAGCAGGAGGCTGCAGCAGCTGGCACTGAACAGCTAGGGAAAGCAGATGTGCAAATCAGGCGAGAGGCAACAGTTAAGAGTTGGAACTGGTTCAAGGGTGCGATTGCTTCTCATGTCCTGCCCACAGTTTAGCAGAGGTGAAAGCATACAGCGTCCGCGTTCAGTCTCAGGGTGAAACTACATAGCTCAGTTGGTTAGAGCACAGTGCTGATACTGCCAAGGTTGCAGGTTCAATCCCTGTCTGGGACAGCTGCATATTCCTGCATTGCAGGAATTTATTATTTCTACCCCACCCATCGGGCTGGGTTTCCCCAGTCACTCTGGGCAGCTCCCAACAGAATATTAAAAACACGATAAAACATCAAACACCATCAGAGTCCCTTCCAATTCTACAATTCTATGATTCTAAGATTCATGCAATAGTGCAACACTTCTGTATTAAAAGTGGATCTGGCATCAAGTCCATAGCAAGTGTGGAAGTGAAAATAAGAAAGGGTTCAACTGCTTCCAGTCAAGCACCCCACATGGACTTTATGTACATTTGGCAGGAACCAGTTAGGGACTACCACCTTCGGGTCTAGCCTGATTCTCAGGACATGATGAGCTGCCAGGTGACCTGATTATTGAGCATTCATCATGATTTGTTTGCAAGGAGGTTAGATGGTGGTGGGCCCCTCCAGCCAGGTCTTATACTGCAGATGTGTTCTACAACATGTTCTTGAGACACGAGTAGCACCTTAGTGGTGGGGTTATTCTGCTTCCATGTGTTCTGTAATGCTTTCCCAATGCTGTCACATTATTGTTGACAGGAGGGGCTATGGGACAATAAAAGTGGAACAAAAACCAGAACATTTGTGGCACAAAAAAGTTATGGGGCTTCAGCAGGAAGTTACAGGATATGCACTAATTGGAAATGAAGCAGTGCAACTGCCCCATAACTTCTGCAGATGCAAACCGTATTGAAAGATGGAATGTGTGTGACTGCATTGATAGCATCATGAGCACAAATAGTCATGAATGCACCGTGAAAAAAGATGTCTGGAGGGGCCGAGTGTGTCAAGGCAAGTGTTATTGCACACTTTCCAGTGCATTTTCCTTTGTGCAACCTGAGTGACTTTCTTGAATATACAAATTACAAGGCATAGAAAATTACCCAACAACGAGGTAGAATATTACCCAATATTACCCAATTTACAGCACAGACTGGTATGCATTGACGTACATATTGTAATAATAATAATAATAATAATAATTTATTATTTATACCCCGCCCATCTGGCTGGGTTTCCCCAGCCACTCTGGGCGGCTTCCAAAAGAATATTAAAATACTGTGATACATCAAACATTAAAAGCTTCCCTAAACAGGGCTGCCTTCAGATGTCTTCTAAAAGTCTGGTAGTTGTTGTTCTCTTTGACATCTGGTGGGAGGGCGTTCCACAGGGAGGGCGCCACTACCGAGAAGGCCCTCTGCCTGGTTCCCTGTAACTTGGCTTCTCGCAGTGAGGGAACCGCCAGAAGGCCCTCGGTGCTGGACCTCAGTGTCCGGGTAGAACGATGGAGGTGGAGACGCTCCTTCAGGTATACTGGACCGAGGCCGTTTAGGGCTTTAAAGGTCAGCACCAACACTTTGAATTGTGCTCGGAAACGTACTGGGAGCCAATGTAGGTCTTTCAAGACCGGTGTTATATGGTCTCGGCGGCCGTTCCCAGTCACCAGTCTGGCTGCTGCATTCTGGATTAGTTGTAGTTTCCGGGTCACCTTCAAAGGTAGCCCCACGTAGAGCGCATTGCAGTAGTCCAAGCGGGAGATAACCAGAGCATGCACCACTCTGGCGAGGCAGTCCGCGGGCAGATAGGGTCTCAGCCTACGTACCAGATGGAGCTGGTACACAGCTGCCCTGGACACGGATTTAACCTGTGCCTCCATGGACAGCTGTGAGTCCAAAATGACTCCCAGGCTGCGCACCTGGTCCTTCAGGGGCACAGTTACCCCATTCAGGACCAGGGAATCCTCCACACCTGCCCGCCTCCTGTCCCCCAGAAACAGTACTTCTGTCTTGTCAGGATTCAATCTCAATCTGTTTGCCGCCATCCATCCTCCAACCGCCTCCAGACACTCACACAGGACCGTCACCGCCTTCACTGGTTCTGATTTGAAAGAAAGGTAGAGCTGGGTATCATCTGCATACTGATGAACACCCAGCCCAAACCCCCTGATGATCTCTCCCAGCGGCTGCATGTAGATGTTGAAAAGCATAGGGGAGAGGACAGAACCCTGAGGCACCCCACAAGTGAGAGCCCAGGGGTCTGAACACTCATCCCCCACCACCACTTTCTGAACACGGCCCAGGAGGAAGGAGCGGAACCACTGTATGACAGTACCCCCAGCTCCCAGCCCCTCAAGACGGTCCAGAAGGATGTTATGGTCGATGGTATCAAATGCCGCTGAGAGATCCAGCAGAACTAGGAAACAGCTCTCACCTTTGTCCCTAGCCCGCCGGAGATCATCAACCAGTGCGACCAAGGCAGTTTCAGTCCCATGGTGAGACCTGAATCCCGATTGGAAGGGATCCAAATGGTCCGCTTCTTCCAGGCGTGCCTGGAGTTGTTCAGCAACCACTCGCTCAATCACCTTGCCCAAGAATGGAAGATTTGAGACTGGGCGATAGTTGGCCATCGTGGCCGCATCTAAAGATGGTTTTTTAAGAAGCGGTTTAATAACCGCCTCTTTCAACGGGTCTGGGAAGGTTCCCTCATGGAGGGAAGCATTCACCACCCCACGAAGCCCATCGCCCAGCCCTTCCCGGCTAGCTTTTATAAGCCAGGATGGGCAAGGATCCAGGAGACAGGTGGTTGGTTTCACTCGTCCAAGCAGCCTGTCCACGTCCTCGGAGGTAACAGATTGGAATTGATCCCACGCAATTTGACTAGACAGGACTCTAGCACTCTCCCGCCCTGGCCCTGCTCCCACGGTGGCGTCTACCTCTTCCCGAATCTGAGCGACTTTATCTGCAAAAAACTTTGCAAAATCATTGCAGGAGATCATGTGGCCCGTACTGGGCCCCGATGTAGCAGGTGGTTCCGCTAAATTGCGGACCACCTGAAAAAGTCTCCTGCTGCTGTTTTCTGCAGATGCAATAGAGGCGGCGAAGAAGGCCTTTCTTTCTTTCCCTCTTTCCCCCTTTCCTTCTCTACTTTTCTCCTTTTAACTTTATAAATTCTAATACAGTCGTACCTCAGGTTAAGTACTTAATTCGTTCCGGAGGTCCGTACTTAACCTGAAACTGTTCTTAACCTGAAGCACCACTTTAGCTAATGGGGCCTCCTGCTGCCGCCACACCGCCGGAGCACGATTTCTGTTCTCATCCTGAAGCAAAGTTCTTAACCTGAAGCACTATTTCTGGGTTAGCGGAGTGTGTAACCTGAAGCGTATGTAACCTGAGGTACCACTGTAGTTATTGATACAAAATACCTTTTACTTATGGTCACTAATCAGGCAACATACATTACTATACATCATTTCATATCTTTAATAATTTTGGCATATATACTTGACTATATCAACTCCATATATCTGGCTCCTGTGTTGGTGAACTAGCCTCCTTCTCAGGGGAGTCCCCTGTCTCCTCCTTGGTGGAGACGGTGTGCTCTGTTGCTTCATTTGGAGCAAATGATTCAGCAGAGGAAACACAGCCCAGAATAACTAAGGAGATAGTACAAGAATACTTGGCTAGTTTAGATGTATTCAAGTCTCCAGGGCCAGATGAACTGCATCCAAGAGTATTAAAAGAACTGGCAGATGTGATCTCAGAACCACTGGCAGTCATCTTTGAGAATTCCTGGAGAACAGGCGAAATCCCGGCAGACTGGAGGAGGGCAAATGTTGTCCCTATTTTCAAAAAGGGGAAAAGAGAGGACCCAAATAATTACCGCCCAGTCAGTCTGACATCAATACCAGGGAAGATTCTGGAGCAGATCATTAAGCAAACAGTCTGTGAGCACCTAGAAAGGAATGCTGTGATCACCAATAGTCAGCATGGATTTCTGAAAAATAAGTCATGTCAGACTAACCTGATCTCGTTTTTTGACAGAATTACAAGCCTGGTAGATGAAGGGAACGCAGTGGATGTAGCCTACCTTGATTTCAGCAAGGCATTTGACAAGGTGCCCCATGATATTCTTGTAAAGAAGCTGGTAAAATGCGGACTTGACTATGCTACCACTCAGTGGATTTGTAACTGGCTGACTGACCGAACCCAAAGGGTGCTCATCAATGGTTCCTCTTCGTCCTGGAGAAGAGTGACTAGTGGGGTGCCACAGGGTTCTGTCTTGGGCCCAGTCTTATTCAACATCTTTATCAACGACTTGGATGATGGACTCAAGGGCATCCTGATCAAATTTGCAGATGACACCAAACTGGGAGGGGTGGCTAACAGGATCACACTTCAAAACGGACAGGATCACACTTCAAAACGACCTTGACAGATTAGAGAACTGGGCCAAAACAAACAAGATGAATTTTAACAGGGAGAAATGTAAAGTATTGCACTTGGGCAAAAAAAAATGAGAGGCACAAATACAAGATGGGGGACACCTGGCTTGAGAGCAGTACATGTGAAAAGGATCTAGGAGTCTTGGTTGACCACAAACTTGACATGAGCCAACAGTGTGACGCGGCAGCTAAAAAAGCCAATGCAATTCTGGGCTGCATCAATAGGAGTATAGCATCTAGATCAAGGGAAGTAATAGTGCCACTGTATTCTGCTCTGGTCAGACCTCACCTGGAGTACTGTGTCCAGTTCTGGGCACCACAGTTGAAGAAGGACACTGACAAACTGGAACGTGTCCAGAGGAGGGCAACCAAAATGGTCAAAGGCCTGGAAACGATGCCTTATGAGGAACGGCTAAGGGAGCTGGGCATGTTTAGCCTGGAGAAGAGGAGGTTAAGGGGTGATATGATAGCCATGTTCAAATATATAAAAGGATGTCATATAGAGGAGGGAGAAAGGTTGTTTTCTGCTGCTCCAGAGAAGCGGACACGGAGCAATGGATCCAAACTACAAGAAAGAAGATTCCACCTAAACATTAGGAAGAACTTCCTGACAGTAAGAGCTGTTCGACAGTGGAATTTGCTGCCAAGGAGTGTGGTGGAGTCTCCTTCTTTGGAGGTCTTTAAGCAGAGGCTTGACAACCATATGTCAGGAGTGCTCTGATGGTGTTTCCTGCTTGGCAGGAGGTTGGACTCGATGGCCCTTGTGGTCTCTTCCAACTCTATGATTCTATGATTCTATGATTCAATGAAACCATGTTAAATAGTTTTTAAATGAGAATTAAGAAAAACAAAAAATTAATAATTGTGCAATCTGAAATTGCTGACATGTGAATGAATTCCACAAAAAAAGACCCCACAACAGTCTGTAGATGCCCTCAGTTATCAAGCCCTTGGAACGCTATCATGTTGTGTATTGTGTATGATTGTGTATTGACAAATTCTGGACAGCAACATACTGTAAAAGATAGTATCTCTCTGGGCTCACTGACTAAGTTCTTGGCCTTGAGTCCGGCCCAGTCCTCCAATCACTACACAGCAGGGTTAAGTGGACTATTCAACGCTGCAACTGTACAAGGTAGCTGCAGCAGACCAGTAGCAGCAAACTGAGACTAAATTCCTCTAGAGGCCCACAAAAGTCCATACGGATGCCATACCGTGACAAACAGGTACAGAGGATGTCCACTGGCCAGATGCACTGCAGTGCAACGTCTTGGGACCACTGAGCTGAAAGCCAACTTCACAACCAAAATCACAGGTGGAGTTGTAAGCGAAGTCGCCCACTGGATTTACACAGTCCATGGTTCCTCTTGTGGGTAACTCGATTTCTGGACATTGCTTAACTAAAGAAAGAAAAAGGGGTAAACTAGAATGAAATAGAAATCTCCAAAACCATGATGCAAGGGGTCTGCTTGCAGTAGATTTATTTAGTATATGGAGTGTATAAACCATGAGCCTCACCTACTACATTTTGCATGATGCCAGCCTATCTCCTCACCAACACCACAGGCACCCCTCCTCCCAGCTCTTGCTAGACACAGATGAATGACTGACTTAAGCAGACCCATTCCCCATTTGACTGGGGGACCCTCTGCCAATCTCCAACAGTAACATTAAATCGGATTGCTATTCTCCCATGGATTTGTAGCCTTCACGGGTGCAGAGATAGTCTAGAATTAGCCACAAATCAGCTAAAACAATTAGAAACAAATACATTTATGTTCTTAGAATCGCAGAATGGTAGAGTTGGAAGGGACCCCCCAAGGGTCATCTAGTCCAACCCCCTGCAATGCAGGAATCTCATCTTAAGCAGGTGGCCATCCAGCCTCTGCTTAAAATGTTATTCAACTCATTAACGCTTGTTGGCTTTCAAGAAGCTCTGTGAAAATGATTGGTAGAAATGTTGCTTAATAGATATGATAAGATTAAGATTGTTAAAGCGCAATATAAATTTAAGAAATGTGAGTAATTGTGATAATATGGAAAATTGCCAGATAGGCTGAGGGAAGTCTAAAAGATGTATATGTTAGAAATGGGTGTTAAATATGGATGGAATGTATATTGGAAATTGAATAAAAATTAATTATTAAAAAAAAAATGTTATTCAACTCTGGTTTTTCAAGGGCATTTTTTTATTTTTACATTTGAGAGCAGCAGCTTCAGAATTGAGAGCCAGCGCCAAAGATACGGCCAGCCACAGATCAGATCAGTCACCTGCCCCTTCCCTCTCTAGGTTTTTGTCGCCTACTGCCCCACCTTCTCTTTTCCAAGGCTTCTGCTTCCTCTGTCCTTCCTTGCCTAGGCCATGTGTTCTCTGAACCTTTGCAGGATTTGTGCAGCTCAAGATAGTGATCTCAGGTTAATAGGCAGGGTAAAAATACTCCCAAATAAGTAAGCAAATGTTGGCACAACAGCTGATCCCATACCAGGCAGGAAGCTCCAGCTCAGGGTAGCTCAGCCAGCCTCTGCCAAATCCTACCACATAATCCCTTTGTTTTTGAAGATATAGATATAGTATATAGATTGATTTTTAGAATCAGATAAGTTAAGGCTCTCACTTTTTACTTGTTTTGTGCCTTAAAACAGCAGCCTGATACGCAGAAAACAAGGAATTGAAACTTTCCATATCTCTATACCAGAAAACATTCCTGCTTTCAAGTCAGGCTGCTGCAAACGGTCCAGGGCAGGATTAGCAAAAAGAAAAAGGGGAAAAAAGTTAACAACCCTAAATGCAATATGACCACCAACAGTAATTTGGAATCTCCAGGTTTATGAAAGTGATGTACAAAATGTTTATTCCATGCATCTAAATTGGTTTTCCAGGTCAACATCTACTTCTGGTCTTGGCATTTGATAGCCAACAGCTGGATCTCCAAATATATTCATCGTACACCCTCTAAGTACTACAGAGTTCTGAGACAATAATATCAGAATGGGATTTAGAAGGAAACTGAACCTTGACATATTGGCTCCAGGGAACTCCATTCTCCAGATGCTTCACATCTAGTGGTCTCCACTCCACTTAGCAGAAAGCCCTCTGCACAGCTAAAGTTGCAGCTAGTCTGGTACTGAAATTTCCTGTGAGAGCAGATGAGGTCTCCATGAACAGGGGTTCTTAATGGCCAGCACTGGACAGCTAAGGAACAGAGAAGGGAGGATTCAATCAGGCACGTGTGCGCTATGCATGATGGGAATTGGCTATTATTATTATTATTATTATCATTAATGCCACCCATTTGGTTGGGTTTCCCCAGCCACTCTGGGCAACTCCCAACAGAATTTTAAAAACACAATAACATATCAAACATTGAAAACTAGAAGATCAGGACTCTGGTTATGAAGGACATCGACTGAAGATGGACTACTTACTTATTGCTCGTTTTATCTGCAAGTGCGCCCCCTTGCCCCCACAATTTAGGGGGCTGGGCGATGTCAGCATGCCACATGTTGTTGATGTGTCATGTGCACGCCACACGGCTTGCACACATGAAACAGGCACACCCTACTGCATGCACCTGTTTATCCGTGAGCTGCCTTGAGTTTTGTCAGGGGAAAAGGAGGGGAATAACAACAACAATTCCACTAGGAATATCTCCTGCAACTAGGGATGGTGGTGAAATGCACTACAAGCGGCCTGAGCACTGAACTGGCCTGTAACCTGCTTGTCCACTCTCTTTCGTGAAGTGGTCTTGCTTGCAGCGACTTTCTGGAGATTCCTCCAGTACTGCTTTTTTTTATTTTAGGGGGCAGGTAGAATTTATTTATTTTTTTGTAAATAATTTTTATTCATTTTCCAATTAAAAACCAGATTTTTTAAAAATATGATGACATTTATTCCCGTACAGTTTAGTCAGCTGCTGCCATCACCAACATTTAATCTTAACTGTCTGCTGAAATGTACATTCACATTAACTTCTGTCTCATTTATTCACAGTTGAGGTGATTATGTTAGCCATTAACCCCCATTCACATTTATTGTTTTAATGTTAACCTTTCTCTCATTCCCCCCACCCAACTTCAGCCAAATGCATACAGAAAGCACAGTCACTGTCTTACGTCTTAATGTGGGCATATGATATTTATTAATGTAACCCAAAGTGAGCTTCACTTGTATTTGTGAATGCTAAAATGAGACTCTGGAGCATATATATTTGTAGCAACATTGCTGCATTACTTATTATAATAAATTATAAATTTATAATAAATGGTGAGTTTTCTACCATCCTGTTTATGCTTACTGCTTTTCAGTTTTGATCCATGCAAAAATGGATGTTTGTTTTCTGGGCAAAGTGCATGGGCTGATGGGGTGTGTGGAATTATTACAACAGTGCTTGGCTCAGTGGGCCTCTTGCCAGTTTCTGGACCTTGGCAACTGCCACACTTGCGTTAACACCTGGCACCCACCATAACAGCACATACCTACACACTGCGGTATCTCTGCTGACCAGCTCCCAGACGGCAAGCACTGCAAAGTGGCCAGGCCATTCATTTCAAATCCTTCATCACAACTGAAGCCACAGCTGGAGTTATAACTGAAGTTCCCCAGAGGATGACTGCAGTTCATGCGCAGTGGTCTAAGTGCAGCATCCAAGTCCTTGCATTTCACAACTAAATGGAGACATTGAAATACCAGGTTATGCCAACACTACCATCAGCAAATGTGTTTCTAACCTCTCCTTTGAAAGAGATTGTGGAGCGGAAACATTTGTTGCCTGAACCCTTCCTCACTCACTTATAATACCAATCCTTTCAGACCTTGTGTTTCTTTGGAGCCAACACAGCAACCAGAATTTAATTCTCTCCCAAAGCATGGTCTGGTCAACTTGAGTTAAAGTACCACTTAGTGGTGGTAAAGATGAGTGACGAACTCAACCATCAGGAATTTATCATGGTGGCCCTATTCTGCCTTAGGTGCAGGACCAGACAAGTTTTTCTGGGGACATGAACAACAGTGTATGGGGGGGGTTGACCCCTTTCCCCTCAAACCACACCCCTAAAACTCAAATAAAAGTTACCGTATATTTAAAAGACAGATATATTTCACTGGATATATTACAAGACACATTTGCAAGAAACAACCTGTATTCAGTTCAGTGGCGCTTACCCTGGGAAAGTGGATAAGGAAAAGAATGGCTCCAGTGAGCTGTGGAGTTGGCTCCTGAGTATTTAGGTCAGCATTTTCACCCATCCATTTCTAAGTCTCCTTTTAATTTCAAATATGCACTTTGCATCTCAGTGATGCTGACAGCATGCTATCTTTCTGGAATGTCTATATAGAGCCTAAGCAAGAAGGCTATAATTTAGGCTCTGGCCATTTCTACTAGATGCAAGACAGCCACCTTGGGCCAAATGAGGAGGGGAGAAATGCTTTTGCTATATCCATCACTTATTAGTACATCCACTTCAAAGTTTCATGCAGAAACTTAGGATGGAAGCTACTTCCCCCCACCAGATTCAGTGTCTCTAGAACAGCTTTCTGGAAAAAAAGCTTTGTTGTTTTCAGCATATCAGACTACAGCTAAACTCAGTAGAGCAGAATCAGTAGTAAGCTGGAAATCCTGAGGTCTAGAAAGCTGGATTTCTCATATGTGTGTCTGCCAGGGCAGTGGGTAGGAAAGGGTGGATGGGAGAAGAGTTAAAGCACCATCTCCCCTTCCTAAGGCTTCTCCACTCGAGATTATCCCTGCTCCCATTTGGATCCCTTGATTCCTCTGGTTTAGCTCTTAGGCTGCATACACACAATACCTTTAAAATACATTCAAAGTACATCCTTTCCCTCAAAGAATTCTAGACAGTGCAGTTACAGAGAGTTACAATTCCAGCAACTCTTAACAAACTACGGTGCCCAGAATTATATTTTTTTGAGGGTGGGGAATGTGCTTCAGATGTGCTTTAAAGGCATGTTGGGTACACAGGCTTATTCACACAACTGAGGCACACCTTTCACTGAGACAGTAAACCTGCATCTTTGAGCAAGACCACTTCAAACTACAGGTTAAGACTTGCATGGCTGATATATATTTTTAAAAACCCTCGCTATTATAGAAAACTGGCACATCAGGGAGAGGACTCAACTAGAATCCAATATCTAGTTGCAGGTTTTGGTGTCCTCGGGTGTCTTCCCGTGTAAAAGTTGGGGTGTCTAGGCGACGTTTCGACGAGGTCTCACTCGTCATCTTCAGGCTGGTGCTTTCGGCTTCTTGTTACTGGAACAGAGCAGGATCTCAGTGTTTGAGTTCCTAATCACTCAAGATATCCCTCAAATAATTAAGGAACAAAAGAAGAAAAGGCACACTAGCCTGGGAACTTCCTCTCTGCCCAGAACATTGGAGGCTATACACCACACCCCCTCAACAGTATTTATAGGAACTCAAACACTGAGATCCTGCTCTGTTCCAGTAACAAGAAGCCGAAAGCACCAGCCTGAAGATGACGAGTGAGACCTCGTCGAAACGTCGCCTAGACACCCCAACTTTTACACGGGAAGACACCCGAGGACACCAAAACCTGCATTCCTGTACCCGTGAAAATCTACGAAAGCCAATATCTAGTTCTATATATTTTGTGTGGAAGAGCCACCATCCATGTGAGCCCCCATTCACAATATAAAGTACAATTCAGAGGTGAGTTTTCTCCTCGTGGAAATAGGCCAAACTTGCCCTTTTGATTCCCCCAAACCAGGGCCAAGAGTGGCTGAGAATTTGTACATTTTGTTGCTAGACTTAAAAGCCCTGGCATGGCTTCCAACATAGATGTTTCAAAGGAAAATTATATTGAGCTGGGCAGTAATGTTATTTGTGATGCATGTCAGTCAACACAACAGGGCTAAACATTTCTCACAGAGCAATCTTTGTTATCACATTCCGGTGTGCTTCCTTTTGGGGCAGAGCTACACTACAAATGTAAACTAGTTTTAAAAATGATTTCCTCTTTCCAGAGAATTCTGGCTACTCTAGTTTCATGAAGGGGGCGGGGGGGGGCGGAGATGTCAGCAGCCTCAAAGTATAATTCTCAGGATACTGGGGGGAAAGCCAAAACACTTAAGCTTCTTTTAAAAAACACACACACACACACAATATAAGTTAGCAGCATAGAACAATAATCTGCACAGGAAGAAAGCTGACAAAATAGGAGGCTTTGCAAAAGATGCTCCTGGTTTCATCACATAAGCTTCATACTGTGAATGGACAAAGCCCCTCTGAATGTCCTTTAAGTAAAGAAGGTAGCACCAGTTCAAACCTCAAGAAAAGCCAAGAACTGGAAAGAAGCACCCCCAGCCGTGAAGAGGAGCAGTTTCTCTTGCTCAACAAAAATTTATTCACAGGAAAACCTCTTAAAAGTTATACAAGAGAAATAAATGTAAATTTTGTATTTTGTGGTGATCAAGAGACTGAGGGGGAAATCAGATAGTTCCAGGTTCAAAATTCAGCTTAGCCATTAATTCACTAGAAGGCCCTGAAGGAAGCCCCCCGCGCTCTCAAATGGGGATCACACTGGCCTTCCTTACAGGAAAGCGTACGTGAAACACTCAGAACCATACCCTCCAACATTTTTCCAATGAAAATAGGGACATCCCATTCCATAATGATAACTTTACTATTTATACCCCACACATCTTACTGGGTTGCCCCAGCCACTCCAGGCAGCTTCCAACATATATAAAAACATAATAAAACATAAAACATTCAAAAAACTTCCCTATACAGGATTGCCTTCAGATGGTTCAAGGGTCAGATAACTCCATACCCTCCAGCATTTCTCCACTGAAAATAGGGACATCCTAAGGAAAAGTGGGACATTCCAGGATCAAATCAGAAACTGGGACGGCTTCTCCAAATCAGGGACAACCCTGGAAAATAGGGGCACTTGGAGGGTCTGTCAGAACATTTAACTCAAGCGCTAATTATTCTTATATGTTTTGTCAGCACGTAACAAGTATCCATCCCCCAGCCATGGTTCTGGTCCCTGGGTTGTTAGAAGACTCACCATATTCACACTCTGGCCCATAGAAGCCAGGATAACATTGGCAGGTATAATTCCCAATGGTCTCCACACACTCCCCATGCTGACTGCAGGAGGAAGGCTGGCAGGAAGCTGCACAGAAGAGAGAAGTGGGTTAGAGTTGCGTCATCTCTTGAAACTGAAGCTCTACTCCCACGGGAACACAGAACTGCAGTTGCCAGGATCTCTTTGGAGAAGAGAAGAGAGGAGGGCTACACTAGTTAGCAGCCTATTTCATTCTGTAGTGTCAATGTGAGAAAATGGAGGCCAGTTTCTCCTGTGTTTAGTCCAGTTGCAATCGTTCCCTGCAAACATAGGAGTCAACTCCTAGGGGTTGGGGTCCCTTTCGGACCCCCAATAAAATATTTGATAGCCACTGCCATTCAAATGGTGTGTGCACTCTGCATCTTGTGATCAGTTATGTAGGGCGGGACTTAACTGCCTCCCCCCATATTTTATTCAAGTAAAAATGAAAAACTAATGGCAGACTAGCTAAAGCCCAAGGAGGACTTTAATAACTGCACAGAACAGGCAAGAGCAGGTCAGCCATATAGTGTGAGCAAAGCTACGTATATTAAAAATTTCCTCCTCTAACCAGCTCTTCAAAGATACAAGCATCTTTGGCATCAAGCTACTCTTAACAGAAGGGAGCTGTGGACCTATTCTGCAGAGTTCAGTACTCAGGGCTGATTCTGCTTCATGTTCTAGTAAAGAGCTCCAAGTCTGGACAAAATCAAAGTCTACAGGCTGTTCCACACCACACTTTTAAATCATGCAACTTTCCCCAAAGAACCCTGGGAACTGTAGTTCCCCCCTCACAAAGCTACAAATCCCAGCACCCTCAACAAGCTACCGTTCCTAGGATTCCTTGAGGGGAAGTCATATGCTTTAAAACTGCATTGAATATACTTTAAATTTATGGTGTGGATCTGCTCTAATCTCTCGTCAAATACACTAGCTTGCTTTTGAACAAACGGTCGCACTTATAGATGCCTGTTTTTGCCAATACAGGGTTCATGTTTGTCCATTTTCACTTAGCAATATCTGAAAAGGAAAAAGAAAATGATAGATTGATCCACACCTCTAAAGCAGTACCAAAAGTCATGCCAGAAATCGGGTCACAGATTTTCATATCCAAATTCAGCTTTGTTCCTAAAGGAGATTTCAGCTAAACATTAAGAATAACTTTCAGGGGGTGAAATCTGTTCAACGGTGGAGCAGACTCTCTCAGAAGGTGGTGAAACCGTCATTGGAGGTTTCCCAAGAGAGGTTGGCTAGCCATCCATCAGGGATTCTTTAGCTGTGGTTCCTGCAATGCAGGGGGTTGGACTAGATGGCCCTTGGTGACCCTTCCAGCCCTACATTTCTATGATTCCAAGATGTGCTGCAAATATATCAGGGTCCTGCACCTTATACTGCACAGGAAGGAATATCTCCATATGCGGACTCAGAATAAGCTGTGCTTGCTTAATTGCAAGATCTCAGGCTGCTGTTTGCAGTGCAGAACAGAAAAAGGGCAAGCAGAAAAGGCGGCAAGGTGGCCTGGCCATTATAGTGGAACCTAGGCTGCAGCTCTCTACCTGGGAGTAAGCCCAACTAAACTTACTTTTCAGTAGAAATACATAGGAATGTGTTGTTAGAAGGCATGGAGGAGAATTAAAGCTGAATCTACACTTTGCAAAACAATATGTGAACTGAAACACCTTTGAAATTTGCATTTATCTGAATTTTTCTGTGCCATTCTGCAACGAAACAGTGTTGACAAAAAAAAAATATTGGGGAAAGCGTGCATACAAGTGAAGATATGAGTGAAACAAACATACAGAAACACATTATATCAGGAAATATAATGTGTACATATGTTATATGCAGAAATGCGTACATATGTTAAAACTGCATATAAAAATGTGTTTACAGTATTATGAGAAATTCTCACTGAAATGCTGGTGAATTTTCATGAGGAGTCTTCAAGAATAAAATTCACAAATTGCTGCAAAATGTGGAGAACTGAATATTATATTGGAAAAATAAGAAACTAAGGCTGGATCTAGACACATCAAATAAGTGTTTCAGTTAAACGCATTGTAAATTTAAACAGGGAAATCTGGAAGGGAAAAACGGGACTCCACAGTGCATATAAATCGCTTTTTCTTTACCAATCTAGCTGAGTCCTAAGAGAACCGAAACTGATCATTTCCTTCCATTCCTAGCTGTTGGTGTTCCACAGCTATGACATAATACGGGGTGCTTTCATTACCTTGGTAGCACAGTGGCCGTTTTTTGTTAGTACAACGTTCATCATTCCATTTTCCAGATTCCACAGGCCTTTTAATGTATATCTCAACACAGTCCTCTCCAGACCGTCTGTTGTTGGGTTCCCGAGAAGCCCAGTTTTCTGCTTCCTTTGTCAGGATCTTGCCCGTTCCAACCCAGGTCCAAACATTCTTAATCTTCCGGATCCCAATCCAGTAGTACGTGCGGTAGTATGGAATGGTAGCATTGAGATAGGCAATTTCCTCTTTGTTTTGGATTGCTACGAGGTCAGTATAGTGCTGCTGGCAGTATCTCCTTGCCATGTCCCAGTTGCTTGGGGGCATCTGCCCATAGTGGTAAGTCCAGGCCCCCACAGAAGAAAATATCCCTGCCAGAGCAAGAAGGATAATTAGGGAAAGGCTGCAATTGCAGACAAGCATCCTGAGTACACAAATGGTGATGAATACAGCTGGCCTGTTCTTATTAGAAGCACTAGATAACTTAAAATTAGCAGCCACAGAGGACAAGGCATTCTGCAGAACAGACTCCATGCTCAAAAGGAAGAGGTGGCACTTTTGAACTGACCCTAACAGTTGAAAATCAAACAGAAATTAAAGAGGTGCAGTTGAAGGAGGGAGCAGCTAGCCTAGTAGGAGAGACATATTTGGAGTGTAACAAGGACCTTCTACTGGTGGAGGGAATTGTTAATCTTTTCTCCTGGAAACCCCATTAAGGACTGCTTTGGACAAAGAACTTAGCAAAATTACATTAGTCAATAAGTATTTTCTTCAAAAGAAGGGCTAGATTGGAACTTTTTACGGTTTTGTGCCACCTGCAATATTTTCCTATTGTGACTATACCAGGAGATTCTTCTTGGCATGGTCTTACAGGGCACTTGTTTTAATGGGATTGCCAATGAAGCATTCTAGTTTCCATTTGGAATGGTGAGAACAGCAGAAGCCAAGCAGCCTCAAACATATTTCTGCTTGCACAACTCTTCCCATCCCCAGCGTTGCTTCATATCCTTCCTTGGCAAGGTCAAAGTAATAGCAAAAATGACATTTTTTTCCAGTAAATTTCATAAATACTTACCACAACTAATGATAGTAAACAGCAGCATGTGGTCATCTGTTCCTGTAGACCACAATCTTCTGCTGGTTACACCCTGATTGAGGATACAGATTTGCTGTTAAAGTGACAACGTGCATTACAATTTTAAATGCAAATTCATAAGCCTCCTTATACAATCCAGCCAAAATTGCCTTTCAAGGGTCAAACTAGATGTAGCAACATCCACACAATTAGCAACTGTGCTGTGCAGATGCTTTTGAAAGTCTGTGAGGTGCTACTGTGGCTCAGGAGGGCTTTGCTGGTGCAAAGGATTAAGGCAGTTCTCCTCAACCTTTTTCCAACTCCGGCCCCTTCCTGCCCCTCCCCCCCCCCCGTCAACAGGGGCTATTTAAATGTTCCATATGTAAATAGGAACATGTTTTATTTAAATTTTTTATAATTTATACAACATACAATAACATACAAATTTATACTTTTATGTTTTTCTCTCTCGATGTTGCCCCTGTGCCTGATGACCAGAAACAAGTGCTGTGAATGCTGCTGGCGCTGATGTTTCTTTGCAAGGAGCGATCATTTGGCTGCTACAGAGCAACAAAGCAGCCAAAGTAACTTTCTGTCAAGAAAAACGCCATTTTTGGACAAAGAGTACAATACAGTGGTACTTCGGGTTAAGTACTTAATTCGTTCTGGAGGTCCATTCTTAACCTGCAACTGTTCTTAACCTGAAGCACCACTTTAGCTAATGGGGCCTCCTGCTGCTGCCGTGCCGCCAGAGCACGATTTCTGTTCTCATCCTGAAGCAAAGTTCTTAACCTGAGGTACTATTTCTGGGTTAGCGGAGCCTGTAACCTGAAGCATACGGTATGTACCTGAAGCGTATGTAACCTGAGGTACCACTGTATCTAAAAAAATTCCACAGCTTTGGGATAAAGTAAAATTGTATTTCATGGTATTTCCTACTTTGTATTTGGTACAATCAGGTTTCAGTCGTGTTGATTATTTACTCAGCCTAAAGCGGAATCGCCTTAACATAAGGACAGAGGTGATCTTCGGTTATCCCTCACAGCAATAGTATTTTAAAAACTTGTTTCCCTCGCTCCCTATATTGTTGCTACATGTTGTTCTGCTGGACCTTCCTATAGCAATGTCAGTTGCTGTATTTGGGGCCAGGCTGGAATTTTCCCAGCTGGCAAAATGGCTCCTCCCTTCTGGTTTTTGCCACCCTCACAGCAACCATCACAACTTTGGTGGTATAGGCAATGGGAAGGCGTAGTCTCGGACAGAGGACAGAGGGGAGGTTGTAGCCCCTGCCTGCCCCTCTGAAAATGGAGGGCCAGGAAAGATGCTTCTGGACTCAGCTAGACTGGTACAGAAAAAGCAATTTATATGCGCTGTATATGTGATATAACATTGTGCCACCAGAAGTTGATGTGGAGTTCCGTTTTTCTCTATCCGTTTTCCCTGGTTAAATTTACAACGCTTTAAGCCGAAACGCTTCTTTGAGGTGTCTAGATCCAGCCTCTGTCTGGACGCCCAGGCGGGGGCGAGGGGCCACAGCTCTCTCCAGGTACAATCCATTGGGGGAGCTACTCCTTCACTTCTGGTTGACCCCAAATGCAAATCCTTCTCTCAAACCTCTTACATCTGTAGTCAACAAAGTTGTGACCTGATTTTACCCAAACGCTAGTTGTCATTCCTTTTATTCTTGGAATTTAGGCAGTCCTCAGGGCAGGAGGGATGTCTTGCAGCACAACAGCAATGCTGGGCTGGATGGGGCCCTGGCCTGATCCTGGAGACTCCTTTTAGGTTCTGACGTTCTAAAACTTCACTCAACCAGGCCCCCAGAAAACCTCACGCTGTATCTTTCTTCCCAGCAACATAAATTTTCTCTCCAGAAATTTAGGAAGAGGTTGAAACATCTACAGCAGACTATAAGACTAGCCATTTATAAATAATAAGATTGCCTATATTTTTTAATGGATGCAGGTCCATCCAACGCATTTTAAACAGTCTTATACCACTTTAAACAGTCCTGACTCCACACTTGGGAAGAGGGATTTTTTGGTTAAACTACTCTGAGGACTGTAGCTCTGTGAGGGGAATAGGGATAGCTGCTGCTCTCAGCCCCCTCAACAAACTATAGCTCCCAAGTTTTCTTGAGGGAAAGCATGACTGTTTAAAGTGGTATGGCACAGGTTTAACTGCAGAGTGCAGATGGGGCTGCAGTCTATACTGGGGGTGGGTGGAAGGTAGCTCAGCATCTACTGGTAGATCTCTGGGGGATATTCAGCAAACCACCTCCAGGGATTTATGCTTTCCAGTTGCTTAACAGTAGCAACAACAGCTTTTGCTCACATACACACCCGAAAATCAGGCTGCTGAAATAAAGGAAGGTTGGAGGAAACCTGGAACAGATCCCCCCCCCCCATATCAGTTCTTGTACTGAAAAATGATTCCAGTGCTCAGGTGCACGTTGAGTTGCCCTGCTCCTTAATTCTAAGCATATGTCTGCCCGCTGCTGCCGCCACCTTCCTAAGCCACGTGTCCATGACCCTGCTGGAGGAGTCCCCTTCAGAGCACCCCAAGGCCAACATTGCAGGGGGACAGGGAGACATGCCAGACCCTTCAGGGTGTTTCAGCCTCTTCCCCAAGACACAGCAGGCTCTGGCTCAGATACCGAGGCGAGGATTGAGCTTCCCCCAAACCTAAGAGAACATTCACTCGTAAAGGCACAGAAGCAGTCAGATGCCAGAGTGCCTGCTTGAAGACCAAGGTCCCCTGTGCTACTCCACACAAGTAGGCCAAGCTCAGGCAGCCCAGATGGCCTCCAGCTGTGGTCAGGGTGAGGCTCTGGGGCACATGGCTAAAAGCCTTCAGTTCCTTTTCTTTGTACCAGCCAACCGCTGTGTTGGTTAGTTGGTGCTTTGATTGCCTTGGATTTGACCTCAGACCATTATTGCATCTTGTCTCTTGTGTTGCCTTTAGACTGTTCCTAGAACCTGCCTTTTTGGACTGTGACCTCACCTGGCCTTTCGGGTTGCCTGTGTGTGTGGATTTGGAACTGCTGGCTTGGTTGTAAGTCACTTTGGGTTGCCCTGGGCAAGACAAAGCGACTAATTAACTAATTAATTAATTAATGTACTATCTGAAGCAGGGCTGCTATATACAACTTGGTTACTGTCCAATTCAATGGGAAATGTATGAGCATGGATTCTATGTGTTTCAGTGGGACTTATGAAGGGGACTTTACCATCAGCTCATGCCCAAGAAATATTTAATTATATATATGAATATGAAGTGAATAGGGACGCTGTGGGTTAAACCACAGAGCCTAGGGCTTGCCGATCAGAAGGTCGACGGGTCAAATCCCCGCGACGGGGTGAGCTCCCGTTGCTCGCGTCCCTGCTCCTGCCAACCTAGCAGTTCGAAAGCACATCAAATTGCAAGTAGATAAATAGGTACCACTCCAGCGGGAAGGTAAACGGCGTTTCCATGCGCTGCTCTGGTTCGCCAGAAGCAGCTTAGTCATGCTGGCCACATGACCAGGAAGCTGTACGCCGGCTCCCTCGGCCAATAAAGTGAGATGAGCACCACAACCCAGAGTCGGCCATGACTGGGTCAGGGGTCCCATTACCTTTACTATATGAAGTAATATACCGTACATAATTTCTTTTATTCATACAAATTATAATGAAAGATTTTTAGATGATGGCTTCAGCTGCAACTGCATACTAAAACATAGACAAAGTTAGCCATTTGCATGTAATTTTAATTGTTGCTAATAAAATCTCAATAGGTTTTTCCTTGTTTAACTTAAATCAGAATTGATTCTGGCATGTCATTTCCCACAAACTGTATACTCTAGGCACTTAATCCAGTAAAAATCAGGCTGTCCTATTAAAATCCATGACACCCAAATTAGGCATAAATAAGCTGGCCAACTCCTTTTAAAGCAATTTAGCTGTGACCTTTATACTGTAGTAGTGTATTATTTGAATGCAGTTTTTTCTGAAGAACAACCTTTGTATTAAAAAAACCCACACTATATTTTTACTGGAATTTTCAATACAGGAGAAAACTGGCATACATGGCAACAGGCCATCAAAAAAGTAAAAAACAGATTAAATCCATTGAAATAAAGTACGTATAAGGAATAACAAAAAAGGAATACAGTATATGCTAAATAAAATAATGAGTTTACCTTGTCGTAATTATGCCAAGCAAATCATTTGATTTAGTAAACTGAATTACAACTTTTGCAACTTCCCCATCGGGTTCTTCATTTGTGGACGAGATCCCTGAATTGTATGTACAGCACTAGACTTCTAAATCATAGTCCCACAATTTCTGCTCCGAGGGCTTTGGCATGCCGAAGTAACATTATTATTGTGAACAATGTTCATTCACTGTTCATTCAATTCCCCACCCCCCCACCCCCAACCTTCCCCCAATTTTCCTTGTTTGGACTTGGGGGCTTCACAGCTCCCCAGCCCCATCCGAGTTTTTCACATTCACTTCTGCACCCAATCACCCTGCCTATAAGAAACTAGTTGTAGGCACGCTTCCAGGGGGGGGGGGGGCTTTTTTGATTGCCTTGGATTTGACCTCAGACCATTATTGCATATTGCTTTTTCCTTCTGCCTTGAGGTCATGGTCACCAGTGGAGAAGCCACTCTCCCCAACACTTTTGTGTTCCATTACTACACCAAAGATAGAGGTGATCTACAGAGGAAGCTCAGAGCATACTCAACTGTCCCTTATTCCTCAATTCTATGGATTTGCCCCATATCCATGAAGAAACTGCACCTACCACGTTTAATGCTGACCCTTCTGATTTCTCCTTTCTGTGCTGCTTCATATGTGGATAGGCATGAGTATTAAACACCTCCTTCCTCCCCGCAGCCTTCTTGTGCCAGGCAAACACTTCCTCTAAAGCAGACTGAAGCTGATTGCATCCTTTTCCTATTGCCCGCTTTCACTGAGCTGTCCTGTCACAACCACATGCGTTAACTCCTTGTCAGCTGTTGGTTTGGGCATGTAGCAGTGCCCTTCTTGGATGCTGGTATACGGCAACAAAAACAGTAGCGCCGCAGCAGAAGCAGCAAGAAACTGGAAGTAGTAAGGGGCATCAGCTATTTCAGGTGGCAAGATGGAATCCCCCCCCAAAAAAAGCAAATGTACTTGCTAGTAGAGTAGGCACCATCCAAAATCAGATTTGGGGTGAAATATATGTGTTGAAATAGGTGCCCCCAAGAAAAATAGGTGCTGCTACACAACCATGCCTCTACCACCAGTGGCGTAGCGTGGGTTGTCAGCACCCAGGGCAAGGCAAGTAATTTGCGCCCCCTAACCTGTGGATTTGCGCCCCCTAACCCGTGGATTTGCCCTAACCCCAGATGTTGCGCCCAGTGCGGCCGGCCCCCCCTGCACCCACCACGCTACGCCACTGTCTACCACCACCCCACTGCCACTTGCCCACCCGTCCACTCACACTTTTGCTGCTTCCTCCATCATTGCTGCTGCTTCCTGTGGCTGTAGGCGTGGCCTCCCAGAGGTGCTTTGTTGTGACCGTTTTTACAATCGCCATATCGCCTTCCAGGAAGCTGCCTGATAATTGTAAATAGGTCATGCCAAAGTGCCTCTGTTCTGGTGGGTAAAAAGGTAAAGGGACCCCTGATAATTAAGTCCAGTAGCAAACGACTCTAGGGTTGTGGCGCTCATCTCGCTTTACAGGCTGGGGGAGCCGACGTTTGTCTGCAGACAGTTTTTCTGGGTCATGTGGCCAGCATAACTAAGCCACTTCTGGCAAAACCAGAGCAGCGCATAGAAACACCATTTACCTTCCTGCCAGAGTGGTACCTATTTATCTACTTGCACTTTGACGTGCTTTCGAACGGCTAGGTTGGCAGGAGCAGGGACCGAGCTCACCCCGTCACGGGGATTCAAACTGCTGACCTTCTGATCGGCAAGCCCTAGGGTCAGTGGTTTAGACCACAGCGCCACCTGCGTCCCGTGTTCTGGCGGGACCTTTTTACAGTAGTCAGGCACCTTCTTGGAAGGCAATTTGGCAATTGTAAGGGTAGTGCAAAGCGCCTCCAGGAGGCCGTTCCTGCAGCCATGGGAAGTGGCAGTGGCAGAGGAAGAGGCAAAGGGGCAGGTGGGGAGGGAGGGAGGGAGGGAGTGGGAGGGCAAGAGACAGTGGTGGCAAGATGGTGGGGGGGGGAGAGGTGGCGGTGCAGCGTACCAGTGCGTACTGCCTCAAAAAAAAGCACTGCTTTAAATGGAGCATGCAAAGATACATGTGCCTGCATTGCTTCAGACAATTTTGTCTGCTCCCTTTTGTGCTGCAACCTGTAACTTTTCTGCCACCTTAATACTGGTCCCCCAGGAGGGTGAGTGCCACCAGCACTACACCAGTGTCCTGAGAAAACCTCTTAATTCCATTTTTATTTTATTCTTTGGTAGACTTATAAAAAGGAAAAAAAACACACCAATAAATAAATTTTTGAAAGGGAAAATGTTAGACACGGAGGCAAAAAGTACCAAAAAAGAAAGAAATCAAGCCTCCTTGCTCTCTCCTTTTCTTCCTGCCCTCTGCCTGGGGCCTCCTCCTCACCTGCTGCCCTCCAGCGGCTGCTATGAGCTGCTCAGCAACAGCAGCTGTGGAGAGAGCGTGGCGAGGCAACGGGGTGCTCCCTCGCAGCAGCTGCCACCACCGCTGCCACTTGGGACCAGCACCAGCTCACCCTCTTCCCTGAGCTCAGTGGTGGCAGCACTTGCAGGGGAAATGGGGACATTCTGGGAACAATTCAGAAGCCAGGGCGGCTTTTTTAATTCCAGGACTTTTCCCTGGAGAGTCATGACACTTGGAGGGTATGATGTCATATGCTACAAAAGAAGGCCCAAGGAACCCACCTCCTGGAGTCTCTCCAGCCTGGACACCGAATATGTGGCTGTATTAAACCGAGTCTAAAACAAAACACACCACATTTATACACAGCAGCTGGGTTGCATGGATGTTTAGCATGGCACATTTATTAACGTGGAGATGCATGCCCTAAACAATTTTGGGGAGGGGCAGAGGAATGAGCTGGGGAGCTGTCTCTGGTGCAAGTCCACTGCATATTTGGAGAGTCATATATTTCTCTGATGCATTTGCTCTCAAGGTGGAGGGAACTTTTTTCTGTGGAGAAGTATTTGGTCATCTGAGCTCTGCTGTCATCTACACTCAGGCTTACAACAGCAGTGAGAATGAAACATGAGTCTTCCTGGCTTTTCTTTTTACTTGGATGGCTTTTCCTATATGTGTCTTTGATTTAATCCACTCCCCCCAAATTTACGCTGCTCGTTCCAATGACAACAAAAGAAACACACACTTCAGCTCTCGTTTCCAAAACACTCGTCCCGCCATAGATAGGTCCAACAGCAAACAAAAGGAGGAAGCTCCTTTTCAATCCAGCAGTCCAGAAATGTAAGTAGGCCTTGTGCCAGATTGAATCCAAGCAAATTAAGAGAGAAAATATATAATGGTTACTACATGTTTCCAAGTAAGCTCCAATAAGGACCAGCAGGGGCATTAAAACAACCAGAAAACAGCACAAACATGTTCCCATATAACTAGTTACCTTAGCAGTACAGGTTGTGCCTCTTCACCTGAACTGATGGCCGGCTATTTCAGGGCTCCCCATTTTAGCAGATTCTTCGTTTAATCTCTTCTCTTTCTTTCTCTCTCTTTACAAACCTTATTTAAACAATAAAAACCAGTGGTTGCATTATTCCAGGGGTCTGAGGGTGAGTGCTCATTTGCTGATAAACACAAATAATGCTCACATTTTCAGTTAAGTACTGTACTCACTTTTGGTAACCAGTCTATTGTGTTGTGTCTACTTCTCCAATAAAACAATCCCCCATGCTCTGTTGACTCAGTTTGCAAACTACAAGAAGCTTTTGGCCTCTTTATGGCCTCTGACATTCTTAAGGCCTCATGGCCTTGCCCATTCCATACTAGGCAAAAGTGCTGGAACTGGGTCAGGGCAATAATAGTAGAAACAGTGCCTGAAATTATCCCCAAATCCTCTGTCCAGAAACTCTGGACTTTGGGGCATTCTGATCACAAAAGTAATAGGATTCTAGTCATGCCAACATTGGGAAGACTATTGCTAGTTCATCCTGTGAAATCTCTGGGATTTATAGTACAAATGGTGCACTAATTTAAATGTGGCTCTTTACTTTTGCCAAGGTTGTCTTCTGCCAAAGACTCTCTTCCAGTTGTTGGCTTCTATTGTGCATTTAATATCTGCTTCCCATGGGGTCCAACATTTTTGTTATTTTTGCTTTCCTTCGTGACTCTGGGATCACCCATCCTCTACTGATGCTATTATACAAGCCTTTCCAACTCTACTCCTCCCATGCCCTCCAAACTGGTTCAAGGAAGAGGCTGGGTGAACCCTTGGAACAGCAAGGCCGAGGGGAGGGGAGTGCAGATCATTCTATCAGACAAGCAGAAATACCTGTGTTGACAGAGCAATCTGTCACTGAATTTCTCCCTAATAAAACAGCTAAACAGAATTCCACAATCTGGGAGCCGCCACATAAAAGGCCCTATCTCTCATGCTCACCAGCTGGGTTGATTTCACAAGTTGATAGAAAGCAAGGCCTCTGAGGCACATCTTAATTCCTGGGCAGTTTTGTATGGGATCAAGTAGACTTTCAAGTAACTCAAACTATACTAGATAATACTAAGATATGGAAAGAAGCCAGCAATGTGAAAACATTTAATAGTGTATATTAGTGGATGAATATATATTACTTTATTTTTAGATGAGGCATGCTATTAACTCACTAATAAGTGAATACTACCACTAAGAAAAAAATTAGGTAGTATTTGACACATAAAAGATTACGTTGTATATAATTCTATCCAGGAGCAGAATACAGATTTTGGAAGTTCAGATATGTGAAGACAGATATAGCACACGTTTTCTGAGAAAGTGTTTTGGAAAATATTAATGAAATGACGGGATATAATTTAACCTATGACCCTGCTTGTTACTTTATTTGGATATGGGAAGGCTGAAATTCCCCAAGCGGATATGATTATTCATTTATTAATGGCTGCTGGAATTTCAAATGGAAACTTTTGGGGAGAATGGCTGATGGAAGTCTGGGAACTGTAGTCCTCTAGTCCCTGTAACAGACTTTGATAGGTAAGTCATTGCTGAAGGCAATATTGGTGACATAATTTAATAATTTTATAAAAGAGTGGATCCTGCGTAGGGGGGTGTAAGTTTGCCAACACCATTTTCCAAAATGGTCACCAGCCCCCCTCCTACTGGAGAATACAATTTTGTGAACCATGGAACTTATGGTTTAACATACATCTTTGGGGTGTAACTTTTGGGGTGTTTAAATAAACACTAGTAATAATAATAATAATAATAAATTTTATTTATATCCCGCCCTCCCCAGCCGAAGCCGGGCTCAGGGCGGCTAACAACAATAAAACAGTACAAACACGAGGTAAAATCAACATTGCACTCTTATATCTGTGCAAGCCTTCCAGCTTGCCAGATAGAGTGATACCCCCGGTCTTGCCCCAAGATCCATTCTGGGGGCTCTCCTGACTGCCCCAGATCCATTTGGGGGTGCAGGGGGGAGGAGAGGGGGACACAAGCAGAAGTCATGGCATTTATTGTTGTTGTTGTTTGTTGTTGTTATGCCACTCATCTGACTGGGTTGCCCTACCCACTCTGGCTGGCTCCCAACAAAAAATAGTAAAAACACAATACAACATCACACACTAAAAACTTTCCTGAACAGGGCTGCCTTCAGATGTCTGTTAAAAATCACAAACTGTCCAGTTGAATTCTGCTGGGATTACCAAAAAGGTAATCCCCAAAAGGCCTGCT